AAAAGTCCTCTCTCCTTCTTAAATTATGTCAACAGACCAGCACCAGCACTCCAACTAGGTGGCACATAAAAGTCCTCTCTCCTTCCTAAATTATGTCAACAGACCAGCACCAGCATTTCAAATAGGTGGCACATAGGATTCCTCTCTCATTCTTAAATCATGTCAAAAGACCAGCACGAGCACGTCAACTAGGTGGCACATAGGATTCCTCTCTCATTCTTCAAGGGGATGGGCCACGCAGGGCTAAATTGACATTATATGATAGTTTTCAATATACAACACGTTGGATCAACCTCTCTTTTATGTCATTAAATCAGCAAAAATTGGCGTTTTCTGTATGCTTTTTTCAGTATCCCCTGGGCTCTTCGCAAAAACTTGTCGAAATTGGTCGGTGACGGCAGCAGACAAATCTTGGCAAAAATGTGACGCCATTGGATGAACTCCACTTTCCAGACAACAATGCATAGTTCTGGCAAGAAAGTTGATCGGTCCGCGCAAGAATAACTAACTCGTACGTGTCAAGTCAACCACATTTGGTCTTGTTTCCTATGCCCTCCTGTTAACATAAGGGCAGAGCTATTGGACAACTAACTAGACGCATCACATTCATTTTGTTTTGCATCCCTTCCCGAGCGTATTCTGGTTGGAACTGATAAGACAATACTTCTTGTGCCTCATCAGCTCCTTCAACGTCGCTTTCTTCGTCAAATGAATAAGATGAACATGACAACTAATCGCTGTGATCAGGAAAGCATCAACGCTGGAATTATCGTCTCTTGAGTCTGGCATGATGGCACACGCTAACGCTACTACTTTACGTACATATTGACGCATAACATTAAACAGTCGCTGGATAAAGGATTCCATCCTATGACGTCAGGATTCTTGGGAATTTCTTCAGACAGCTTTCTGTACCCGGTGTCTGTTGTTTAGCTTTTGCTCTGAGAAGGGAGTGAAATAGGGTCGTGAAAACTGTATTATTTAACATATTTCCACATATTTTGAAATTATACAGATGAGTTTTTTTGTTATGTTTGTTTTATGTGTCGATGCATGTTTTACAAGAAATCTTCAACAGACCAGCACCAGTACTGCAACTAATTGGCACATAGAAGTACTCTCTAATGAATAAATCATGTCATATTTAGTCTTTCAAAAATTCTCATTTTAATTGGGTTGGGGCATGGGAAATCAAATCTTTTCTGTTGCTTTTTCCAGATACTTTTGTGATTTTTTTCTAAATTTTTTTCAAAGGCCATTATTAAAAAATTATTTGCACATGATGTCAAAACAAGGAGCTGAACAACTACTACTCAACACTATTTCTCCACGAGGAGCTACCTCTGATGATCCACTAACTGCATCCAATAAAAACTTTCTTGAATATGTTCACTGTCCTCACTTTATTAACACATCAATATATTCATAAGTCAATCCAATCCGACACTGAAAACAACATATCATGTATGAATGTTTATGACCTTAAGATAAGGCTACTCTAGATCTTTTCTGAATGTTATTTGCTTTGGTGCAAAATTGTTTGTGTAACTGATTTTTTTCAGAAAACATCAGAAAAATTGGTCATAAAGGAAAATATCTGCTTTAAAATGAATTACCTGATAACAAAATCCATTGAATTGATAAGATTTGATATTCTCTATGATTTTATTCAACAACTGAACAAGCATGCACAGCATAGATGCAAAACATTCCATAATATTAAAGCATTTTGCTCCATTTTCCAATGACTAATGAAGCCCAAAGCTGTTCCAAAATGCAAGAAAAGCCAGCTTTGCATTGATACTTTGCCCATTTGCCACTTCACCCAAGAGCCCTTCACTCATTTGCCACTTTGTCTGCACCTTTTGTCAGAATTACGATTACAGAAAAACGATTCCTTAACCCATCCAAAATCAGTCCTGAATGCCAGCAAAGGCAACGATCAAATACAAATATTAGGATACATGATGGATTTGGGTATAAAGCCAATGGGCTTTCTAAATATTAGTAATCAATTTAACTGACTCAGGAGTCACATCTGTTTAATAACTTGTTTGTTTCTAGTAACATGCAATGTTGTACCTAACAGCTTTTAGCATTACTTTGAAGTGTCAGGGACATTACACTAAAAGGACATTGGTTTTTTGATCAACACAATCATTACAAAAACTCTGTGAAGTTTGAATTTGTTTTAGTTTCAATTGACTTTAAATTGTAAGGTAGGAAACACTCAACAAGAAAAAACAATAACACTAATTAGAATGGCCATCCACTTTCTCGTTGTAAGTCTAATTAAGAATCATGGACATCACATTTTTACCTCACGGAAACTTACGCGTCCAAACTAATCCATGATACAGTTGTGTACAAACCTATAGAGAAATTCCTGGAGGATTATACTTCTTTCTCTCATTTGTTAACTATCATTATTCTTTTACCTATGTACATGTATCTGTCAACCAGTCATTTAATTTTTACTTTACATGCTCATACAGTGTATATACAGGAAAGTCAAGATGCGTAAACATTAATCTTCTTAGATGTTTGCAGGTTCAGCAAGTCAAATTTAAGACTTTTTAGACCCTTTCAAACACACGAAACTTATGAATTGGCTATTGTTTTGAATTGAACACACTTTCATTTATTTCTAAAACTGAAACAAACAACACGTTCTCGTGCTTACTGGGGAGATTATTTCATTCACCATAATTTACTTGGCAAAATGATAAACATGCTTAAACTGAAAAAATGGCTTATTTTTCCCCGGGAAATGTCCTGACAAAAGAAGGAACTGCATTGATAAAATTTACTCCTCTGTGGGTTGGAAGCATGGGAGACTGTGACAATGTGTGACAAAAACATATATCCCTTGCCAGGAGAGGGGTGACACTGCAACAGTACTTGATGTGTGTCCAGTGCAAGCAGTTTTCTAACATACACTGGCCCCATGATGTTAAATAGATGGAGTTTGCAAGTTCAATGGGTCGAAATAAGTGGACAATACGGCACTTGTCACTGTCATTGAATTCTAATTTGCTGTCATCATCATCGGTGGTGGTGGTGCTCTGAAGCGATTGTGTTCTAGTGCAGAAGCATGACTTGGATCAGGTTGAGGAAGGGAAATCACACCAGGCTTCTTTGGTTCATTCACATCAACAACACACCAAAATGCTTTGGTGAGCATTGATGGTGAATACAATGTAGTTCCTGTGGACACTTGCCCCAGGCTGCAGCACTTGGCTTGTACACATTCTGCAAGATGAGAAAGTAACATGTATTTTACTGTTGGATGTCACATGTTGGTTGTAGTACCTAGGGCCTAATGAATATTCATTATGATCTCTTTTTTTGTCAAAATATGGATTCATTTTTTATTTTGTAGGCCTTAACTGTAAAATCCCACACAGTCACTTTACTTCAATATTTGTTGAAAGAATGAAATGAAAGAAAAAACTACACTGAATTACTGTTCTCCGAAACATTAGAATTCATTTAGATGTTTGATATGCATGCAGGAAATGAAAATTTTCATGGATAAAATAAGCTTTGCAACATGTCAACTCATTGCTCCAAATGTGGGGCAAAATGATTTACGAGGCAGTGAGAAAATGACATAATAAACTTGTCTTTTTTAAGTGCCCGTACTTTTCCCTGCGTGCGCTCAGTTGTTAGTGGACCCATGACTTCAGTCATACACGAACAGTGACTTTGAACTTTAAAAGACACTGTAATAAGGTTCGGGACCAAACCACAATCTAGAGACGTCCCTACTTTCTGCTTATGTTGCTTGTTCAAGCGGCAATGAAGTCATTTTTATCAGGTCACTTGATAATGATGTATTTTCCCATGTGATTCCCATGTGATTTTGGGAAAAATAACGAGGTTTGAAATGCCAGCAGCCAACATGGCCGCCATTGCCATTACCGTTGGACTCTGTGGCAAAATTGTTTCCGATCGCTATTTTGGAAAATTGGCACGGCAGACATAAAATTTGCCACAGTGAATCGAGGGAGATTTCTAATGGTAACATTTTCATGCATAAGATAAACTTTGGCAAAGCTTTATTTTTTTTGCGTAAACGTTTTCATCAGCAGAATTGGACTCGCCTACCCACGGCCACCGAATTTGACACATCCAGTGCAAGATTCGACTGAAAAATCTCCTAGATCCACTTTTATAGATACCAAATGAAAGGAAAGTTTCATTTAGATCTTGGGTGGCATGTTTCCAGTAAATTTGATCAATTAGGCCCTGGAGCAATTTGTATTGAAGTTTTTGGCCGACAAAGAGATCGATGTAATCAGCGAACTGTGATCTAAAAAATAGTTCAAAAATTATGTCGTCGTTACACTAATGAGCAGTGTATGCATAGCCTGGCGTCGTTGCTACATTGTGGTTTGGTACCCGACCTGGTAATGAATATTAATTGCCCCCCAACCTCCATGCCATGGTTTTTGTTTCTTGTAAACTAGGCCTAAATACATAAACTTTAGATATTTACAAGTGCAACTTACCACTGAAGCCTTAACTTTCCACATTTTTCGGACAGCGGAGAGAAAAGGTATTTTATTTTACTCGATCTTGTTTGCACCGCGCGGCGTAACGCTGAAGCCTTAACTTGGTAAGGATGCGAAAGCAGGGCCCCTCGAAATCTGGACCTCCCACGATATTGTAGCAAACAGGTATATATACACATTAAAATCACAAAAATGTATACAGCACAATTTCAAATGGAAAATTAATCCATCCGTTTCTGTGTGATGTAATAGACCCTAAGCCCACCTCTATTCCTCATCAAATTCTGCGACAATATCGCAGTACCCACGGCTCTGGCCAGAATCGACGCCATTTTGTCATAAAGCGTGTGTACAAACAGAGGGCGCTAGATACGACTTGTGGTCCACACAAGGACAAAATCTCCGCCAGGCCGCGGACAAGTTGTTTTGAAAAGAGGGGTCTATGTGGGCCAAGAAATCGTGGGATTGTGTAAGTCTCGCCTAAGAGCATCTCTTTAAATTCAGGGGCACTCATCTAGGGGCAAAACAAACAAAAATGTCTGTCTGACAAAAAGAGCCTGGGAATGGTGAGGGATGTCATTGGAAAAAGGCTGCTGAGAAGACTTTTAACATTCACTTTTGGGGGGGGTGAGTTTGTTTTGGGAGGATAATTAACATCTTCATTGGTTAAAGGATCCAGGAAATGAATTTTTCTTAGAATCGCTTTTTGTGTATCTCTGTACTCTTCTTCCATGTACATTGTATGAAGACTGTTCGACATCTTTTTGAGTTACATGATCTGAACGGTGCACTTTTACAAGTGAGGGCACTTTTGCTTTGATGTAAATCCAGGAAGACATAGTTCAGGTTGCATGTTTTCACGTTCAAATTGTAAACCCCAAATTTGCTATCTGGTAACATTTTTGTGAAAAGGATTTTTGCTGGATTATTGCCATATACTGGCAATAATTGCAAAAGAAAATGAAATCTGCCATAGCAGTGGTTAAAAAAATCTCAAAATTTTTTGTGCACAAATCAGTGCAACATTGAGATTCAGTGCCTTGGATGACATCATAGTTCTGTTCATGAATATGCAAACAACATTAGCATAAAACCATTAAAATATTGGTTACAATTGCAAAAACAACAAAATTAAAATCAGGTTAATTGAAACCCAACAATGTAATTTCAAGGGTTTTTATCAAAATTTATAAAAATGTTTCTATTTCCTGGTTCCTTTCACCTACTAAAAATTGAAAATCAAATGAAATCTGAAGGACCAAGTAGCACATTGTTTTTTGTTTGATAGGCTTCAGGGACTTCAGTTTCCGGCCGTGGGGCTCCAGACTTTGTTGATTTTACACTATTTTCAATGGAGCTTAAATTAGTTCAGCACAAACGCATAGACCGCCCGGTTCCATTCAAAACAACAGGGGGTTCTAGTCTGGATACCAGACCCGATGATTCTGACTTCTCTACTAACTGTTTGTTGTATACCCAGCAAGAAATGAGACCGAGGGGTACCCCCCAACATGTCCAATCCCTATACACATTCCAGACTATTGTTACTTAACGCATCCCCCCAAGATGGGGGGGGGGTACCCCTCGGTCTCATTTCTTGCTGGGTATAGAGGTGTCTGATCGAATTCTGACGCTCTTGCCCTCGACCTTTGTCTGAAAGTGACATAGAGCGTTGAAGACTGCTTAGTGCTAGTTCCAACTTGAAGATGTTGATATGTTTTCGCTGGTGCTGAGGATCCAGGTTCCTTATATTTAGTCGAGGGAAAGAGAGGCTCCCCAGTCGAGGCAAATTGCATCGGTGGTTATTGTGACCTCGAGTTCTACCCTCGAAAATGGAAGACCGCCGTCGAGATGCCTCAGAGACTACTAATGAAGGTGCGGGTGAACAGTTGCTGTTTGGGGAACCGGGAGGTCAACGGGTTCCTTCTTTTTTATTATTATACCAGTTTATTAAAAATACCAGAATTGGTGGCCAAAGTACATGGGGTTCACAGAAAGATCGAATAAAAAATGTGCAAGATCAAAGAAACAAGCAAAAGACAATAAAAATTAAAAATTAATCATTGAGTGCGCGTGCATAAAATGGAATTGGACTGTTATAAAAACGCTGAGTTTTAGAAGTAATTGTTGAGAGTTTGTTACTGTTACGTAAACAGCGACCATGACATTCCAAACGAGTTAGTGGAATAAGAGATGAGGTTAGTGGATTAGATGAAAGACCTTTGGCAAAAGTAATACAATGATTGACTCTCCTGTCAGCTAGTTTCAAGCTGACAAATGTGTATTTTGATATGACGAATACCTAAACCCTAGAATATTTTTAGAACACGCTTCGATTCTGAATCGATTCTTACTTCTGCAATCTAGCAGAAGTTATACTACTATGCCAAATGACATCCGCATACTCAAATACGGGTCGAATATAACCAGTATAAACAGTGATCAGTTCGTCAACGGAAAAACCAAATCTCTTTAGGGTTCTAAGCACATACAGCTTGGTATTAGCCTTTTTAAGCATACTATTTACTTGGACATTCTATTTTAAATCGATTTGTATCCCTCGTTTATGCCCATAACCCTAACCTCAGTAACAAACTGCATACAGGTTGGATTGCTTGTTTGCGTAGAAGTGCATCTATTTCGGGCTCCAGCGCCTGACTTTTGTTTTTGTTGCGAGGGATTGGAGTCAGGCGAAGAATTGATTCGGACGGAGGGGTACTCGTGAATCCAGAGGGAAACGGTGGTAAACACCCATTTGTCCGATGTGATGTCCCGCCAGAACCCTGAAAAGGATAAAGATGGCAGCCAGGGGAATCAGGAGTGGAGGCTGTGAGCAAATCTGAGTAGTCACTTGCGAGGGGATGGCAGTTGCGCCAAGTGTTTCCCTTGTCCGCGCGTCCAGTGTTGTGCAGTAGTCGCAGTTTTGGGTAATGGAGGACGAAACGACCGCGAGGGGCTGGAGAGGTATTAATCTGTTTCACCACCATTTCCAAGTTATCCATGAATTGGCTGGCGAAGAGGTCTTTACTGCAGAGTGGGCGGTCTTGAAATCTAAACTTGATGCCCTTATAAGGAGTATTCATAGCCTCTAGAGCGTTCGATCTGCGAGTGGTGGCTGCCAGGGAGACAATTCGTGAGAATTGTTCGAAGGTAGAGTTTAGGCCTTCGTCGAGTGATCGGAGCGCTACCGTAGCGAGATCGGGAGAGACGTTGAATCCTCCTCGCAGACGTGGGCCAGGTATTCCGAGAGAAGTGGGAAGGCAATACATCGGGTACTAGAGCAAGACGCTCTGACGAGTTTGCAAATGTAGTCTCTACAACATTCTTTCTCACAGAAGACAGCTTGTCCCCGTCTGCCGCAATCTTATCTTTAGTTGCGTCCAGTAACTCTGGGACCGCTAAGAATTCTTCAAAATCGTCTAGGGAAAAAAATCGTCTGGGAAAGCAGGACTGGGCTCCAGGAGGGTATGGTCGCCAATGTTTGCATTTGGCGATAGTCTTTGACATCTCGACGACTGAGCGACCTAGTGGGAGTTCCTGAAAAATCGGCTCAGAAGCATCGAACCGGGCTGCATGGCGTTTAAATGATGTACGAAAGTTGCCTTTCCCAGGTAAAGACGGTGATGGGAGGTCAAGCACCCGAATCATATCTCGCTGAAGAAGACGGAGCCGGCTCTCGGAAACCACTAGGAGAATCAATCTCATCATCATCATCTAAGTTGGGTGCCGAGCGGGGTATAGTTGGAAGGAGTATCCAAGGAAGGACAGTAGTTGAGAGACGCAGACTCTTTTTCGGGTTCTGTCTCCAGCCGGAGGTAGCTTGTTTTATTGCAGTAACGGCGGACAGACATACAAAATATTGTTGCGTTTCCTAAATATCAAGTCGATGGTAGCATGGACTTTATAGTGTCTACGGGATGTGATATTTGGGGTCAACAATTTATTAAAAGGTGGACGTGAAACAAGGGGTTTGGGTGACAGTCAAACTGTATGGTTGGTTTATTGCTCTCACTTCTCTTCATCAAAGTTCAATGTGGGTTTGAAGAAGGTGTAGCTTGACATAATACAACACACAAAAGGCAAAGTTATAGAGAGGCGAAGTTGTATACGAGTGTTATTAAAGTACGGTTTGGCAGGACCATTGGAAATGTAAGTCAGACGGAGTGGGTTACGGTACGCGTGTGTAGCATCGCACAACTAGGCTACACTCATCGGGCCGGGCCGTGGTGGGAGCTGTCCCGGACCACCACGGTGACTAGCAAGGGCTGGACGGGGCCAGCGCCGGTATGTACCGACCACACTGCCGTTCAGACCGCACTGATAAAGTCGCCGCACTGTGTACATTGGCTCAGCGTAGAGACGGGGAGGACTGGGCTAGTTAGCAGGACAAGGGTGGCGAGGGACACGGGGGTGTCTCGCCCGGCAGTCGGTTCGGACGTAGCGGTGACGGGCCGCTACGACTCTCACTAGCACCCTACGCTAATTCGTACCGCTCTCGCATCGGTCCAAGCTAAGCTAGCTGGTCATTCATATGGTTACATGTCTTCACCATAAGAATGGTTACTATCGCACTTCCCTCGGAAAGGGTCCAACCGCCGCACTACGTTAGGTTCCGCTCTCGCAACTAGGGTTGGTCCGCCGCACCTGACCGACGAGCTAGGGAAAATCTGCTCG